AGCTCATGGGAGTCATACACGATATTAATTCTTTTTCCCAAGGCACCATGACTTTATGTTCTGATGTTATTGGAGCATGTTTGTGTATTCAAAATAAAGTATCATTTCTACAGTACATTATTTTTGTATGCGACAAGACTTTTGTCCAAGTAAGATCTGACCTTTCTGTCCTAATTAAATGATAAAATTCAGTGAATGATGCACAACTTTATTTTGGTATAATAAGCATAATCTAGAGGCCTTTGCCTTTCATATAAGCCATTTCTGATTCCAATTGATCAACTACAAGTCAAGTTATTATTTGTTGTTCCTACAACTTGGATAAGCGACAAGACTTTTGTCAGGGACTGTACATTTCCTGTGAAAACAGAAGTGCATTTTGAAAACAGACAATGCAAGTAACAGGCTGAGGTTTACATAAATTATCATAACAAATCGTGCCATGGAGTTACAGTTGTTCATTTAAAAGTGCCACTGACCCCAAGTTTGTCAGCAGTTTTAAAAATGAATGTCTTCCATTTGTCTTGTGCTGTTGGACTGTCTAAGAATCTTCCTCTTTTTGGAAAGGGGAAGTTTATGAACACAGAAGGCTCATTTCCAAGCAAAGTCATGAGACATTTGAGCAAATTTTGTCAAGCTGAGTATGAAATAAACTCATAACTTGAGCTTGAGTGCAAGTTTTGTGACAGTAGTCCACACCCATGTTTGTTATCTTGCATAATACTGAATCTTTTTGTCGATACTAAAGATTTAAGTCTACTTAGTGTGATTTACACAAGGGATGATCAGAGGTGCAGAGTTTTTACCACCCTCATTTAGACCTGGGTTGAAGTATGGGAAGAGTTTCTCAGTGAAGGAGCAGCCAGTAAAGGAGTAGATAAGAGCTGCAGCATCTACGTCATAAAAGGAGACCACACCCTCCTCATAATCCACAAACACCCCCACCTTCTGAGGCTGAGACCTCAGAGAGAGACAAACATCAAGATCATCGAGAGCTTTGTACTCAATTCCATTCCTCAACCATATGGTCCAGTAACCATCCTCAGGGCTCAGTGTGATCAGTCCCTTCCTGTTGATCGACTCTTCGACCACTCCTAAATCCCATCCAGTCTTTTCTTTAACTTGAACCTCAAAGTAAAATCTGCCTGAAGAGAAACTCTGCTTTCCTAAGACACAAAGACCAGTAGAAAATCTCTCTGGGTTGTCTGGGAGATTTTTCTTCACATTATCATGATTCACTTGTTTCCCGTCATCAGACAGTGTAACTTCAGGATGTGCTGTATCAGGATCAAGAGTCACATCCACTGCAGACTGCTGGACTCTCTTCAGCTCAGCTTCAACCAGCTTCTTCATCTGTTCACTGAGTGTCTCCTCCAGCTGAGACACAGCTCTCACCACAGTCCCCTCATATGAAGGAGCATGGATATTGATCTCTGTCCAGTCCTTGGTGCGTGGAGCAACGTTCAAGGACTGGATGCTTTGGAGAAGATGGAGGTGGTCTTCAGAGTATGAGAGCTGCTCCACCTCAGTGCTTCTCTTCATCAGCTCAAAGATTTCCTGTTCCAGCTCTTTGGTAAAAGCTTTGGCCTGATTTTCTGTTGTTCTGTGCTTCACTTGAATTGTGTCCATGAGTTTGTTCAGTTTTCGCTCAGCGCACTCTATCAGAGCAGTGAAGATCTGAACACCTTCTGCTATCTCTCTATTTGCATTTTCCTCACTGAGGCTGACTGACCGTTTGATCTCATGAATCTTCAGTCGTCTCTTCTGGATCATCTGCTGAATTTCAGCCTCTGTCTTCCCCAGCTCAGCCTTCTTTTCTTCACAAGCTTCTTTCAGAGGAACAACATCATGTGTCTTGTGGTCTAAAACAGTGCAGAGCATGCAGACACATGTCTGGTCGGTCTTACAGAACAGTTCCAGAGGTTTATCGTGCTTCGTACACATCCTGTCTTCCAGGTTCTCCACAGGGTTGATCAGCTGATGTCTTTTCAGGCCTGACATTGTCAGATGAGGCTCCAGGTGAGTCTCACAGTAGGAGGCCAGACACACCAGGCAGGACTTCAGGGCCTTCAGTTTGGTTCCAGTGCAGACGTCACAGGGAACTTCTCCTGGTGTGGACACTTGTTGCTGTGAGCTGCTGCTGCTGGCTTTCTGTTGAGCTGACTGTCTGAACTGAGCGACCATCTCAGAGATGAAAGTGTTGACTCGCAGCTCAGGTCTTGTTCTAAAAACCTTTTTACACATCGGACACAGATATTGGTTTTCAGTATCCCAGTGTTCAGTGATGCAGTTTTTGCAGAAGTTGTGTCCACATGGTGTGCTGACAGGATCAGTGAACACATCCAGACAGATGGAGCACAGAAACTGATCTTCAGACAGCGAACTGCTGGCAGTGGCCATATCTACACACTGAGAACAAAAGAGAAAGTTATTCAGATGTTATTAAGAACACAAATAGTGAGGGTCCATAGCACAAAAATAGAATATAAATATAGATAATAAAAGTTAAAAAAAAAATAACATAAAAAAAACAAATTGCAGAATTCTTGCTTTTTGTGGTAATGTTTTACAATGCACAAAACTGGTGTACTGTTTTTGAAAAAGTGGGTTTTAAAATGATCATAGGACAACAGCTTTTTTATCAACAATTTTAATCAGCACCCATTTGAACACAATAATTACGGAGCAATTAGGCTGTATTAGCAATGCAATCTATGTAGAAAATGTATGTAGATAAAATGTATTGCACAATTACCCATAATCCCTTTGATAACCTTATTGTTACGAATTTATGTGTTGGTATGTGTTGACAGATGACATGAACAATACTGACTATCTCGTTACTATTCCATGTTCTGCTGGGAAATCTTTGGTCCTGGCATTCATGTGGATGCCACTTGAAACACTTCACTCATTCAAACACCGTTGCGGACCAAGTCCCCACCCTCACGGCAATAACACTCCTCAATGGCAGTGCCCCCCCTCCAGCAGAACATGCACCCTGCCTCACAACAAACAATGCTCAGAAATTGCCTGAGGAACATGACAAAGAGTGAAGGCATCAACCTGGCCTCCAAAATCCCCAGATCCCACTCTGATTGAGCATCTGTGGGATGTGCCAGTACCCCACCTCACAACCGACAGGTCTCAAAGGACCCACCTCCAACGCTCCAGTGCCAGACTCCAAAGCACACCCCCAGAGGTCCTGTGTCCACGTTTTGACATGTCAGAGCCAAGTCTGATCCAAACAGACCCCAGACTTTGGATGGGTGGAGCACATCAAGTAGCATCCATATGAATACCAGGAACCAAAAGTTTCCCAGCAGACCATTGCGTTGTAACAATATGATCAATGTTAATCACCTCGACCGCCAGTGGTTTTAATGTTTTGGCTGACTGGTGTATACATGACTGTGGTCTGCACAGTGAACACAAGAAGTTTGTGGGGCTCAAGTCCCACAAGTGTTTTCTATCTGGGCAAGCTACACTGTGGTATTAGCTAATGAGCTAATGAGCTAATGAGTGGCCCTTTTGTTTTTTGTTTTTTTAAACTTTGTTAATTACAACACATCACATTGCATGGATAAATGTGTGATCAGTTTTTGAACCAATGAGCGGCCCTTTTGGACTCTGCACCTGCAGGACTCTGCAGATTTTCCGCAGATTACAGGCATATAGATGCTGCTTGTAAAACTCAGAATGTTGTCACTGTCCCCTCCACCTCCTTGTGCATGTGTGTTGTATTCAGTCAGTGTTAAAATCAAAGTTAGTGAGAAGAACATTACAGTGTCAACTTTGGCAGCTATTTTAGACTAGTCTTAGTCTTGAGACGAAAATGCTTATTAATTTTAGTCACAATTTAGTCATTTTTATCCTTTGTAGTTTTACTCAACGAAAACTCATGATATTTTTATCATTACTTTTAGTCATTATGTTTGCTGGAGTCAACCAGCCTGTCGCTCATGTGGCATTTGAAGGTAATTGCAAACACAGCTGTTCTCAGCTTTCAGTGTCTTATAATCCACCACTAACATTTTCTTTACATCTTGTTTGGTCAGTGAAAATGAAACATAGATTTCGTCTTTGTTTTTATTATCAGATCTATTTTTAGCTTTTTATCATCTCGTTTACGTCATGGAAAAAAGTTCTCTCTGCTTCATATTGAACCTTCCATTGTAATGGCCAAGTGTCCCACATTTTGTTGATTGACTTTTCTAATAAATTTATTCTTGAAGTACTCAAGTAGGCCTACACAACTCCCCAGTAACATCAGTGTTGGGGTGTGTGAGCTTTTATTTAGTTTTACATCTGTGTGAGTGTTGTCTGCTTGGTGTGTTTGGTTTTTGTCTGCACATGCCTTTCCCTCCCTCTCTCTTATTCTCCTGCTGTCAGCACACCGACTCTCCATTTGCAATCAGCACCCCAGATCTACATCCATAATCAGCACACCGGTCCTCTATAAAATGTGGTGTTCCCCAGGGATCAATTCTTGGGCCATTTCTTATTTATATCAATGATTTGTCCAATGTATCAGATCAGCTATCCAAAATTTTATTTGCTGACGATACTAGTTTGTTTTATTCCCATAGAAATCCTAGAGTTAGACAAAATCTCCAAATGGTTCAAAATCAATAAATTGTCAGTAAACATTAAGAAAACAAATTTTATTCTGTTTAGTTACAATCACAAGAAGCTCACCGAGAATATAATAGTGTTGATTGATAATATTTCAATAGCTAATGTTGAATCAACTCGTTTTCTTGGTGTACTAATTGATAAAAACCTATCCTGGAAGCCTCACATTTCATTTATTTCATCTAAAATTGCAAAAAATATTGGAATAATTGGAAAAATTTGTTATCTTTTAAACACAAAAGTTTCCCTCAACCTTTATTATTCTATGATATATCCCTTTATCAGTTACTGCAACATTGCCTGGGCCAGTACTCACCAGACAAAACTGCAACCAATTTTTAGGTTACAAAAATGAGCTATGAGAATTATTGCCCTTTCAGCTCCAAGAAGTCATTCATTACCTTTGTTTCGTAAATTTGGCATCCTCAATTTTTATCAGATTAATAAGCTCCAAATTACTCAATTTGTTTATGGTTCTTTAAATAAAACACTTCCTACTTTCTTTCACAATTTCTTTTCCCCAAACAATCAATTTCACAATTATTTAACCCGAAAAGCATCCCAGCTCCGACCTCCTCAATTGCTAACTATTTCATCCCAATTTAAGTTCTCTCACAGAGGTTCCATGTTATGGAATTCTCTTCCTCCCCACTTTGTTAAACTTTCTTATGAATCATTTAAAAAATCTGTGAAACATTTCTTGCTATATGAATAACAACGACCTGATCTCTGTATCTGTGTGTGTGTGAGGGTGTGGGTGTGGGTGTGACATCATGCCTTTATGCACATGACAATGTTTAATTTAATGTTTATCTAGGGAAGTCCTCTTGTCAAGCCCCTTGAGGGTTTTTTGGACCTCCTTGCATGTTCCCCATTGTTCTTTTTGTTTTCTTCCTAAAAAGAAGTTCTTATATCACCGACTGTAAATTGTTTTAATGGTAATTGTATTACTGAGTGTCAGTTTTTTTATGGTAATTGTAATGTTGACTTTTTTTTAAAAAAAAATACGTGCTAAATAAACAAAATAAATAAATAAATAAGCCACTCCTCTCCACAGCAGATACTCAGTGCCAGCGAATTTTGTTAGTTTGTCTGCCTGCCTTGAAGATTCATACCTGTTCTCCTCTCACCAGAAATGCCAGTCAGCCAGCCACCACTCCACGTTCATCAAGCCTGCCTTCACTCACAGAAAATCCAACCTGCCAAGACCAGCTTCCATCCACCTTCAGACAAGACACCACCCCCTTCTGCTGGAACCCCTGCTCGTCATCCCTAAGACTCACTTTTCATTAAAAGACTTTTGTTTATTCTACGCACCTGACAAAGTTTCTCCAACTCAAAGATACGACAGACATAATTGTTTTTGGGCCACAGAAAGAAAGAGAGTGTCAGCTCTCACCTTGAATCCCATTCTGTTATAACTTAGAGTCAAGCAAGAAACCTTGGTGTTATCTTGGACTCAGATTCAAATTTCCACAGCCACATTAAATCAGTAACTTCACCTGCCTATGACTATTGAAAAGATATTGCTAGAATCAAAGGAATAATGTCAAAGTAAGACCCTGAAAGGCTCAGCCACGTCTTTATTTCCAGTGGAATAGATTACTGCAATAGTCTGTAAGTAGGCCTTTTAAAACAAGCTGTTCATCAACTTCAGCTTATTCAGAGTGCTGCTGCTTGGGTCCTAATGAAAACTAGGAAATATGACCTCATTACTCCAGTCCTAAAATCTGTACACCAGTTACCTGTCACTCAGAGAATTGATTTCAAAATCTTGCTGCTGGAGTATGAATCACTCTGTGGCTCAGCACCCAGATATATCTCTGACATGCTTGTGACATATGAACCATCTGAGGCCGGCCAACTGACCGCCCCAAGAGTTAGAACAACACGTAGTTAATCAGTGTTTTGTTATCATGCAGCACAAACCTGGAATAACCTCCCAGATGACTTTAGACAGACCTGACTCAGAACACTTAAGTCGAAGTTAAAACTGTTTCTTTTGTACACTGCCTGCTCCACCCTGAAATGACTGCAGCTCATTTATAAACTTGATTTTGAATCATTTTAAATAATGTTTTTATCTCTGCTAGTTTTAATGGTGTTTTTTTTAAATCATTTAATCTTTTATATATTCCCTCTTTTATTGTAAATCTGTACCCTTTGATGTTTCATATCTTATCGCTCTGTAAAGCTGCCCTGATGTATAAAATGTGACATACAAATAAAGCTGCCTCGCTTTGCTTTGTTCCCCCAAAATGATTTTATTGCACCTGGAATCACCTGATTTGCGTTACTTAAACACATTAAAAGATGTTACTTGTTTTGTTGCCCTGTAACAACACTTCTGCACCCCTTAATTATTTTATGTCAGTAATCACAGTTACATCATTGTACCTGGAACTATTTTGAGATTATGTTATTTTTTTAGATTTTTTAAGTGCATTACCCTATTTGTTAGAAAGTTTATTGTAAGTTTACTGTATTTTTTTGCAAAACTTTTTGATTGCTGAGGTGTGAAATTTTAAAAAAAGTGGAACTTTCTGAGTAAAGAAAAGAAAGAAATGCTGAGGTAATTATTATCAGCTGTACTCACCGGTGTTGAGCGGACACTCTGCTGAGAAAGTCTTGATAAACTTTATTTTTCGTCTTTAGACAGAAACATGTCTTGCTTGCAGCTCTGCAGTCCCTCTGACAAATACTGAGTTTCATTTCAGGAGTGTGACGTTTAAGTTCTCCCTGATTTCTCTCCTGGTGTTGCTCCGCCTGCTCTGTGGGTGAGGGTTCCTGTCTGGTGTCTGCTGTGTACATAATTATAACAGCATATAATACATAGTTTGGGCACAGGACGAATATTCAGGGAGTAATGCAACCTGTGGCTTTTGTACCTTTCTTTTTGAATGTTTTTTTTCTTGTGTTTTTCTACAGCAGTAAATTCTTAAAACAAGAGACAGGTTGTCTTTATTCTCAATGCTACAATCTCATCATCGGCCAAAGTTCAACTCAGCTTTAATAGAGTCTGCTCAGTTTTATTTCATTTTTTTTAAAAAAAAAAAATGACACTTTATGTTTGAGCAAAACCACATCTTGGATTCTTTGGCCATGACTCACGAACCTTGTGACAAAAGCAAAAGGAAAAGGAAAAAGGAAGTGAAACATTTCTCAGCAGAACAAGTTCTCATGATCATTAAAGACATAATATAATAGGCCTATGATAATATAAAGGGCAGCTGGATCAACAGAGTTAAACATGCTGTTACTCCCAGTGTGGTTTACAGGCCATTTCATACAAGGACAAACTAACAACTGAATGTGTTACTAATTTGACAAAACAATCACAACTGAAATAATAATAATACTTAATAATACATGGATATGCTCAGCCTCAACAGGACATGTTTGAGGTGTGTAACTCTCTCAGCAACTTCCAGAGACAAATATTCAAAGTTTTTTTTTTGCATATTTGTAAACACACTGTAACACCTGATTTTTTAACATCTCCATCTTTGGTATCCCACCACCAAATTGCGAGGTCACAACTCTGCAGGCAGGTGCTGTAGTGTTTGCTTCACTGGTGGCTTGCAGACTTATTCTTTCTAACTGGAAGTCAAATAAAGCCTCATCATTCTTACAGTGCTTAAAGGAGTTGCTCTCTCTTCTGGTTGGGAGAGAGTCACTGCCTCAAAGGAGGGAGGTCAAATAATTCAGGGTCTTGCTCACGAGTGAGGGTAGAATGGAGCATGAGATGGATCGGCGGTTTGGTGAGGCTTCTGATGTTATGGGGGCACTTTCGTGGTGAAGAGGGAGCTGAGCCAGAAGGTGAAGCTTTCGATTTACTGGTCCATCTACATCCCAACCCTCACCTATGGTCATGAGCTCCGGGTAGTGACTGAAAGAATGAGATCACAGATATAAGTGGCCGAAATGAGTTGGGGGAGGAGCTTGGACATCTGGAGGGAGCTCGGAGTATAGCCGCTGCTCCTTTGCGTCGAAAGGGGTCAGTTGAGGTGGTTCAACATCTGATCAGGATCCTCCTGGGCGCCTCCTGCTGGAAGTGTTCCAGTCACGTCCCACTGGTAGGAGGCCCCGGGGCAGACCCAGAACACACTGGAGGGATTACATATCTCATCTGGCCTGGGAACACCTTGTTGTCCTCCAGGAGGAGTTGGAAAGTGTTTCACTGACAGCCATATTATAAGTTCTCACTTTCCGGCAGCAGCAGCAGCTGAGATTAGCTGTCTTTAACACATTTCTTGTGTTATCAAACAGTGGTCCATATCAGCAGTAACAGAGCAACATGATGTTTCTCTAGGAGCCTGTTTAGACCTGGTAATAACATGCGTTTTGAGTGATCCGATCACAAGTGTACAGGGCTAAATAGAAGTCTAAACAACTTGTAAGACTCATTGTCAGACGTGCAGGAACTTTTGAGGCTCAGTGGCAACCCATCCAAAATTCAAAACACCCAGGTCCCACACAACATCACTAATAACTTCCCTGTACCCTTCTCCAGCCAAGAACCTCAGTGTCATACTTTCATTCCAACTCCACCTAATAAACATTACCCAGACTACATTCTTCAGCCTCCGTAACATCTCCAGACTCTGCCCATCACTGTCCCAGTCCAGCGTCTTGTATTACTATTGTACTATTGACTATTGTACTATTAACTCTCAAACTCTCAAACCCGTAAGTTAAAACAAATATCGCGAAAATTTGAAAGGAATTGGCGATTAACCAAACTGGAAGAATAATATGGACAGACAGTCTCAAAACTTATAAGAGGGGCCTCTGCAATGCCAGAGCAAACTATTACTCAGCATTAATAGAAGACAATAAGAACAACCCCAGGTTTCTTTTCAGCACTGTAGCCAGGCTGACTCAGAGTCAAAGCTCTATTGAGCCTTGTATTCCTTTAGCCCTTAGCAGTAATGATTTTATGAGCTTTTTTAATGACAAAATTCTAACTATTAGAGGCAAAATTCATGACCTCCTGTCCTCAGATAGTACCTATCTAACCTCAAACACAGCTGTAAGACCTAATATATATTTAGATTGCTTCTCCCCAATTTCTCTTCAAGAATTGACCGCAGTGATTTCTTCATCTAAATCATCAACGTGTCTCTTAGACCCCATCCCAACTAGGCTACTTAAGGAGGTCTTTCCTTTAGTTAACACTCATATATTAGATATGATCAATATATCCTTATTAACAGGCTATGTACCACAGTCTTTTAAGGTAGCTGTAATTAAACCTCTACTAAAAAAGCCCACCCTGGATCCAGAGGTGTTAGCCAACTATAGACCAATATCTAATCTTCCCTTTATGTCAAAGATCCTTGAGAAAGTAGTCGCAGACCAGCTGTGTGATTTTCTCCATGATAATAATTTATTTGAGGAATTTCAGTCAGGATTTAGAGTGCATCATAGCACTGAGACAGCACTAGTTAAAATTACAAATGATCTTCTGATTTCTTCAGACAAAGGACTCGTCTCTACTGCAGAGACTGGATCACTTAATTGGCCTAAAAGGTTCTGCACTAAGCTGGTTTAAATCTTATTTATCTGATCGTTTTCAGTTTGTTCACGTTCATAATGAATCATCCTTACGTACCAAAGTTTGTTTTGGAGTTCCGCAAGGTTCTGTGTTCGGACCAATCCTATTTACTCTATATATGCTTCTTTTAGGTAACATCATTAGAAATCACTCTATAAATTTCCATTGTTATGCGGATGATACACAGTTGTATTTATCGATGAAGCCAGAAGAAAGTAATCAATTAACTAAACTCCATAACTGCCTTAAAGACATAAAAACTTGGATGAGCACCAATTTCCTGATGTTAAATTCAGACAAAACTGAAGTTATTGTTCTTGGCCCCAAACAACTCAGAGACTCTTTATCTGATGACATAGTTTCTCTAGATGGCATTGCTCTGGCCTCTAGCACTACCGTAAGAAACCTCGGAGTAATATTTGATCAAGATTTGTCTTTTAATTCTCATTTAAAACAAACCTCACGGACTGCATTTTTTCATCTGCGTAATATTGCGAAAATTAGGCCTATCCTGACCCGAAAAGATGCAGAAAAATTGGTCCACGCTTTTGTTACCTCAAGGCTGGATTACTGTAACTCTCTATTATCAGGTAGCTCTAGTAAGTCCTTAAAAACTCTCCAGCTAATTCAGAATGCAGCAGCACGTGTACTAACAGGAACTAAGAAACGAGATCATATTTCTCCTGTTTTAGCTTCTCTGCACTGGCTCCCTGTAAAATCCAGAATTGAATTTAAAATCCTACTGTTAACTTATAAAGCTCTAAATGGTCAAGCTCCATCATATCTTAGAGAGCTCATAGTGCCATATTATCCCACCAGAACACTGCGCTCTGAGAACGCAGGGTTACTCGTGGTCCCTAAAGTCTCCAGAAGTAGATCAGGAGCCAGAGCCTTCAGCTATCAGGCTCCTCTCCTGTGGAATCATCTTCCTGTTATGGTCCGGGAGACAGACACCGTCTCCACATTTAAGACTAGACTTAAGACTTTCCTCTCTGATAAAGCTTATAGTTAGGGCTGGCTCAGGCTTGCCCTGTACCAGCCCCTAGTTAGGCTGACTTAGGCCTAGTCTGCCGGAGGACCCCCCTATAATACACCGGACACCTTCTCTCCTTCTCTCTCTCTCTCTCTCTCTCTCTCTCTCTCTCTCTCTCTCTCTCTCTCTCTCTCTCTCTCTCTCTCTCTCTCGTATTCTATTACTGCATCTTGCTAACTCGGCCATTCTGGATGTCACTAACTCGGCTTCTTCTCCGGAGCCTTTGTGCTCCACTGTCTCTCAGGTTAACTCATATTGCAGCGGTGCCTGGACAGTGTGACGTGTGTGGTTGTGCTGCTGCCGTGGTCCTGCCAGATGCCTCCTGCTGCTGCTGCCATCATTAGTCATTAGTCATACTTCTACTGTTATTATACACATATGACTATTGTCACACATGTATACTGCCAGATATTAATACATACTTTCAACATATTGTACCACAGTAACCAGAACTATAACTATAATATTATTACTTTCAATAATGTTGTTGTAAGCCACTGTCATTACCTGCATCTCTCTCTCTCTCTCTCTCTCTCTCTGTCTCATTGTGTCATACGAATTATTGTTAATTTATTATGCTGATCTGTTCTGTACGACATCTATTGCATGTCTGTCTGTCCTGGAAGAGGGATCCCTCCTCAGTTGCTCTTCCTGAGGTTTCTACCGTTTTTTTCCCCGTTAAAGGGGTTTTTTTGGGGAGTTTTTCCTTATCCGCTGTGAGGGCCCTAAGGACAGAGGGATGTCGTATGCTGTAAAGCCCTGTGAGGCAAATTGTGATTTGTGATATTGGGCTTTATAAATAAAATTGACTGATTGAATTGATTGATATTGTAACTTAGTTCTCTCTGGCATTCCCACCAAACTCATCAGCAGGCTTCAAACCATTCAAAACTCTGCTGCCTGGATCATCACCCGCACCAAATCATCCGACCACATCACCCCCATTTTCATCCAGCTGCACTGGCTCCCTGTTCAGTACTGGATTGACTACAAAAACCTTCTGCTCACCTTCAAAGCCCTCTGCAACCAAAATCCCCCCTTATCTCTTTGACCTTCCTCCAGGAATACAACCCTCCCCCCAGTATTACTGACTTTATCTCAGCAACAATATGTGTCTGCTCATTTCATGTCTCTTGTTCTGTTTGTTATTTTATGCTCTGTAAGGTGACCTTGGCTGTTTTGAAAGGCGCCTTTTAATGAATGTTGTTGCATTGTACAATGCAATCTGTTGATGACACATCCTTGATGACAGTGGTTCGGATCAAAACTGGTGGGACACAGGCTGGTTCGCTTTAGTACCAAGGTTCCAAAAGTCCTGAAGGGAACCATTGAGGCATTCACATAATATTACATGACATTAAGATATTTTGATCTCGAGACAGCAGATTTCAAACAACGTCATGAAAGCTGACTGATAAGGTTGAGTATATTTTAATGTTAATAGTTACAGGTCAAATGAAAATGGATACAAACTCAGTATAGCAGGCTGTCAGTATGTTACAAAGTCAAAAACCAAATATAAAGAAGCCACTTTCACCACAATCACAGGAAATAAAAAAAATAAAGAAATCAAAATGTAATGTAAAAAGCTGAGATAGAAAGTTATAGCCAGCTTCTGGTGCTGATGTACGCAGATGATATAATTCTTATATTTACAACGACAGAAGGTTTATAGACAGACTGTATGTGCGAGAAATTAAAGTAAAAGGCTAATCATGATAAAACTACAATTTTTGATAACAGAAAAGCAAAAAAAAATGAAGAGAAAATTTAGAGACTCTTTACTGCTTCATTATGAATTCTAATGGTTCATTCAGGACTGCTATTGAGGAGCTGCATAAACAAGCTTCTAATGCAATGTTTGCCATTCTCTCTAAGTGTAGAAAATTTGATTTACCTGTAGATGTCACACTTGATGTTTTTGACAAACTGGATACACCAGTTATGTTGTTCTCATTCGAAGTGTGGCAGTTTGAAAGAATAGATATAATGGAAAAACTACATTCAAATTTCTAAAATATAGCCTAAAAGTTAAAATGACAGCCTGTCATAATATGGTCTATGGGGAGTAAGGAAGATACCTACTCTGTATTGTAGTTAAAAAGAGAATTATTTGCCACTGAGGGAGGCTGATAGAGGGTAAATAACTAGTATGTGCTCAGCCTGAATAATACGGGTGTATATCAGTGTTAATTTTGTTGATAAAAACTATGACGAACATTTTTAACCAACAAACATTTTTCCATGACAAAAACAAGACGATGACAAGCTAAAAACAGATCTTGATTTTTTAAAAAAAGTAAGACGAAATCCATGTTTCATTTTTGCTGAGGAGATGTGATGAAAATGTTTGTGGTGGACTATCGGACATTGAAAGCCAAGAATGGCCATGCTTGTAATTATCTTCAAATGCTGCGTGAAACTCCACCCGTTAAAGTCAAGTGTTGCGCTCCTTTAGAAAAAGACAGGGAGGGGGAGGCGAGAGGGGAAAAACAGCCACACCCACTAGGGTTCTCTGTCACAGTCTGCTTCCCTCCCTCAGCTGCTCCTGGTAAATTTTCACTCACCCGCACTCTGACTGCCAGTCACATCCACCTCATCAAGGCAACTCTGGCCACCTGCTCAGCACACCCGATACAATGTAGGGCAGCACGCAACAGTCCTCAATCCCATATTTTTGTATCTTATGAACAGAGATATTGATTATTATCATTTGTGATGACTGAAGAATAAAATAAATAGGATAGTGAATCAAATTGTGGGTCTGGAGTTTTAACTGTAAAAAAAATAAATGATCAGTCTATATATGAGAGAGAACCAATGGGGCAGAGTTTTTGCCACCCTCATTAAGACCTGGGTTGAAGTATGGGAAGAGTTTCTCAGTGAAGGAGCAGCCAGTAAAGGAGTAGATAAGAGCTGCAGCATCTACGTCATAAAAGGAGACCAGACCCTCCTCATAATCCACAAACACCCCCACCTTCTGAGGCTGAGACTTCAGAGAGAGACTGACTGGAATGTTATCAAGAGCTTTGTACTTATTTCTTTTCCTCAACCATACAGTCCAGTAACCATCCTCAGGGCTCAGAGGGATGTCTTGCTTCCTGTTGATCGACTCTCTGGCCACTCCAAAGTCCCAGTTAGTCTTTCCTTGAACTTGAACCTCAAAGTAAAATCTGCCTGAAGAGAAACTCTGCTCTCCTAAAACACAGGGATTGAGAGAAAATCTCTTTGGGTTGTTTGGGAGATTCTGCTTCACATCTCCAGGATATACTTTCTTTCTGTCACCAGACAAAATGAGAGCAGGATGTGCTGTATCAGGATCAAGAGTCACATTCACTGCATACTGCTGGACCCTCTTCAGCTCAGCTTCAACCAGCTTCTTCATCTGTTCACTGAGTGTCTCCTCCAGCTGAGACACAGCTCTCACCACAGTCCCCTCATATGATGGACAGATGCTGACCTCTGTCCAGTCCTTGGTGGGTGGAGCAGCTTTCACTGGTGGGAAGCTTCGGAGGAGGTGGAATTGATTTTCAGAACGTGAGAGCCGCTCCAGCTCAGTTCTTCTCTTCATCAGCTCAGAGATTTCCAGTTCCAGCTCTTTGATGAAGCCTTCTGCCATTTTTGTTGTTGTTTTCTGCTTTGCTTTGATCGTGTTAATGAGATCGACCTGGCCTCTCTCAACAGACTCCTTCAGAGCAGTGAAGACCTGAACACCTTCTGCTATTGCTCTGTCTGCACCTTTGACACTGAGGTTAATGGAGCGTTTGATCTGCTGAATCTTCAGTTGTCTCTTCTGGATCATCTGCTGAATTTCAGCCTCTTTCTTAGCCAGCTCAGCCTTCTTTCCTTCATATCCTTCCTTCAGAGGAACAACATCATGTGTCTTGTGGTCTGAAACAGTGCAGAGCATGCAGACACATGTCTTAGGGTCGATCAGCTGATGTCTTCTCAGGCCTGGCATTGTCAGATGAGGCTCCAGGTGAGTCTCACAGTAGGAGACCAGACACACCAGGCAGGACTTCAGGGCCTTCAGTTTGGTTCCACTGCAGACGTCACAGGAAACTTCCTGTTTATCACATTGTTGCTGTGAGCTGCTGCTGCTGGCTTTCTGTTGAGCTGACTGTTTGAACTGAGCGACCATCTCAGAGATGAAAGTGTTGACATGCAGCTCAGGTCTTGTGATAAAAACCTTGTTACACATTGGACACAGGCACCTGTTGCTGGTATTCCAGTGTTTATTGATGCAGTTTTTGCAGAAGTTGTGTCCACATGATGTGGTGACAGGATCAGTGAACACGTCCAGACAGATGGAGCACAGAAACTGATCTTCTGGCGGCAGATACTTTGCAGCAGCCATATCTACACACTGAGAAGAAAAGTGAATGATTATTGCTTATTTGTCATAATGTCTGTCATTACACAAAAACAGTATAGTGTTTTTAAAAATGTGGGGCATAAAATATTCATGAGACAGTAGCTTTATTATAAAATAATATAATTAACATACTAATTAGGGCAATAAAATGAATGAGTGCTTTAACCCTTTGACCACAGTAAAGCAATTAAAAAGTGCCATAAAACTGAACAACATGCCTCCCAGTTTTATGACTTTATGAATAACAGGTATGCAAGAATCAAACTGAAGTGGTTACTTGGATGTTCACAGCAGTAATGGGTGTGACGGCCATGGCCGTGTTTTGTGTTCCTGTCTGGCTGGCTGTTTGCTGTCTTTTACAGGTGCTGGGCTTGGGCTGGTTTCACTGCTGCTTTGCAAGGCCCTCTGCTGTCTGCTAGTATGCTGATCTCCTGTTCATTTACCTTCCTGGCTGCTGGGAAGCTCTACCTTTGCATGTTGGGAGGCTCCACTTCTCTCTGAGATTGCTGGCTGGCTACACCTGTGAGGAAGTCTATAAAAGCAGGCTTCCTCAGTTCATTCCCTCTCTTACCCGGACAGCCCAGATCCTGCCAGTTTCTGTTTGGTTTGGTTATTTTGTTTTGTACACACACACACACACACACACACACACACACACACACACACACACACACGGCTTTCATTGCACCCAACATTTCCGTCTCATACTGATTATTGACTTAACATTTCATACCTTTTTATTGTTGTTGTAATTATTTGTTATAATTTTAAGTAAAATCATTGTTTAAAACTTAAGCTTTCTGTGTGGCCCTCCCTTCTTTGTTGTGGCCTAAACGAGTGGGTCATAACATGGGTTAAAACTGGCTCAATCCGGACAATACAATTTACAAATCTACACTACACTGTGGCCAATCCAAAGAACAGAAGCTGGTGGGTCACTACATCTAAAAATTAGACTAGTGATATTGATTTGTCACCCCGTACGTTACTGTACCACAAATACCCTCATGGTAAAAAAAAAAGCGAGGCTGTTACCCCTCTTAGTTTTCCTGTTTTGTTTCCCCACAATTACATTATTGTACCTGGGGCATTATATTATTTGTGTTGGTTACAAATATTAAATAATGTTTACCGCACAAACCAGGATTCTTGTTTTCTCTTTAACAACACTTCTGCACCTTTTATTTATCTAATGCCATCACTGAATTATTTTAACACTGTGATCAATTTACAGAAACCTCTTCATTCCCCATCTGTTATCGATTTTATTCCCAGACTTTTTTTTCTCCCCTTAATAACATTACTGCACCTGAGACTATTTTCAGTTTACTTTTCATTTCAGTGCATTACCTTATTTGTGGACTGTTAGTTTAACATAGTAAAACATGTTTATGTAAGAATCTTTTAGCAAAACTCTTTAATTGCTATCATAGTTGGTTTGTTGAAATAGTAACTATTATTCGCTGCACTCACCAGTGTTGAATGTTGACTCTGTCGTGCTACTGAGAAAGTCTTGATACACTTGCGCCTTTTGACAGCAACACCTGCAGCTCTGCGGTTACTCTGAGAGACATCCAGTTTCAGTTCTGCATTGTGACGTTGAAGCTCTAGTGTTGCTCCGCCTTCTGTTGTTTTGCTTTTGTGCTAATTATCATATAGTATAAAACTAAAGGTTTGGCACAAAATTGATTTAAGATTAGGGAGCAAAGCATCATATGTGTCTGGCTTTTGTGAGTTGTCATTTCTTTTATTCTTTTTTTTATTTTGTATTTTCACAGCAGCCCATCGCACATTTATTTTTAAAACAAGAGATAATTCAGTTCAATTCATACTTTATTAAAGACACATCTCAAGGAGAGGTCCATAGCACAGAGCAAGACAAACAACATACACAATTTAAAAAAGATAACAACAATACACAATAAAACAGTGATGTACAGAAAATAAAATATAAGAGTCACACACAAGTGTACAGGCAAGATCGCCAGTGACTCCACATCTTAGACATGAACCTGACTGAGCTGAGTGCAGGGTCAATTAGGCATGAAATAATACAATTTAATGAGTTTGATATTTTACATATGAATCTATACATCAGATTCCTTATCACTGCAGCACAGGTTGGGACCCCAACACTAGCAATCATATGACTTGCACTGCAGCTTCTTGGAGCCTTAAGCAGCAACCTCATACAATCATTGTAAGCCACAGTGAGTCTCTGCATGCTGCTTTTCTTGTATCGACACCACAAGTGGGCAGTATAAAGAGAAGTACAGAATGCTTTAAACAGACAAATCTTTATATCCACTGAGCACATGCTGAATTTGCGCAACAGCATGTTTGCTTGAGCATACATTTTTCGACATTGTCTATGAATATCCTTGTCATCAGAGAGATCATTTGTCATGTAGTGACCGAGATATTTCACCTCATCACACTCTGTGAGGGCTGAGTCTGACAGAATTTGTTGGCAACCATAAAAACTTACGTGACAGTCGTAGGCGAAGCTAAAACTTGAACATACACAAAACAAAATGTGGCTGTGTAAGTTAAGAAGTAGTAGTCAGGGGGGAGTGTTGCTGTCCCGTGGAACACTGGTCCGCTTCCACGGTCAGTTCGGTTCGTTTGGAGTGGGGTGAACACTCATTTGAACTCTGGTGCGGACCAAACGAGTGAACCCTGGTCCGCTTGAAAACTGGGGGTCTCTGTTCACTTGCAAGTGAACCCTGGTGTGGTTCACTTACAGTGGGAAATGCAAACAGACTATCCAGCGACCCTAAGAGAGGAAGTGACATAGAGTACAGTGCATTTTGGGTAGACAACAAACAAAGCCAACAGCGTGAACCGGGAGAAGCAGAGGTAGAAAAGAAAAAGTTGAAAAATGTCTCGTGGGCAGACGTGGAGTAGTGAGGAGGTGCAGGCGCTTATTGATATATTGATATTTGGTGTTGCTCTGTTGTTTTGTGGTGACCAAACCGGCTGAAGGGGATGGATTTCCGTTATCGGTCCTAGCCAATCGATGAGCCGGGTTTTCTTCTTCCTCGTGCTTTTTTTCTTCCTGGTAAGTGGTTGTTTCGGGCAATACCACCCCCAAATGAGCAGCTGTTGTAATTGTGTGATGTTGTCCAGGTGGTTTGGTCTGCTTAAAAAAGTGCAGTGTGAAAGTGAACCGAACCAAATGAAGGTGTGAAATTTTTCGGCTTTCCTGGCTCAATCGAACTGAGTCCCGCGGATGATCCTGGTGTGAATGCTCCCTAAGAAGCTCGTCATCTGGATCTTGGTTGTTTGGTCCTGGACAGTGGCTCTGATGCTCCCCAGTCCTCAGCCCCCCTCACTACACTTAGGGTACAGTCTCAGGATGCTGGACTTGGGATGAAACCCTCCATGCATTGTGAGAAACTTCCTTGCCTTGATATCAGTGGCCTCTATGTCCTCCTTTGGCCACTTTATTAGACCAGTGGGGTATCTGATGACTGGCAGTGCGTACGTGTTGACGGCTTGGACCTTGTCCTGACCATTCAGCTGACTTCTCAGGACCTGCCTTACTCTGTGTAGATATTTGGCATTGGCTGACTTCCTTGCGGCCTCCTTGTGGTTCCCATTTGCCTGCGGGACTCCAAGGTACTTGTAGCTGTCCTGAACACCTGCAATGCTGCCCTCTGGTAAATCAACCCCCTCGGTTCCAGAGCATGTGAGCGGAGCGGGGAGCGGCTATTTTTTTAAAAAGGTGGAGCAGAGCCTTATCTCTTGCTCCAATCTTGCTCCGATAGCTCATGCCCCACCCAGAATGCACCTTTGCACCTGCGCACACCCACTATTTTCTTTCAAAATTATGGAGTTTACTGTGTACTTCACAAAAGAAACTGAGAAGTCATACAAGTGTACCATTCCTGTAAAACTAACAGATGGTGATAATGTGGAACAAGAAAAAGAATGCGGCGACGTTGTTTCAGTAGGTAAAGAGTCGTTTTGGAATCTAAAAAGACACGTTTCTTGGGAACACGGCAGTCTACTACAGGAACACGCTGCGAAATCAAAAGGTGAGCTAGTTGCTAATGCTAGTTAAAAATACGCTTTGTATGTGTGTAGTAATGTTCGTTTAATTTAATTTGGACCTCTGTAAATTTGTATTTCATAGAGCGAGAGGCACAGCAGCGGGAACAAGAGAAAGAGAGACAAACGGGTGGGGAAATAAGCCGTTTCTTCACTCCATGCAAAGGCCCAACTGTGACAGCGGCGAGAAAAAGGGAGCTGGATGAAGCCCTTTTTAAAATGATTTACATGGACTATGAGCCACTAAGTAAAGGAGAACGAGAAGGGATGCGACACTTCGCGAGTGCGAAACTGACCAATTGGGAGTACGCCCCATGACTGCTTGCACAACGCGATGGAGCAGCCAACTGCGGATGATTCAGTCGGTCCTCCGGTTGTTCCAAAAAGATCCGTTATGGCAAAACAAAATCAAATCTATTGCCGCCAATATCACCCTAAACAAAGTGCATCAGCTGACACACCTTGTCAGCGTATTAGCACCGCTGGCTGACCTCACAGACAAAATGCAGAAGGAGCTGGGGAACCTAGGGATGATCCTTCCGGCTGTCAGTGAGATCAAATCCCTGCTTACCAACGCTGCACTTCTCCATGGGCATTTCTGCTTTTGCAGAAACACTGGCTAATAATGTGTCAACTCACTACTGAAGGTACTACACTGATACACTGACTTCGTTGAGGGTGATGTAGCTCAGTCCATAGAGACTTGGGTTGGGAACCGGAGGGTTGCCTGTTCAAGTCCCCGTCTGGACCGAAAATTTGGAGCGTGGACTGGTAGCTGGAGAGGTGCCAGTTCACCTCCTGGGCACTGCCTATATATACCAAACGTCCTCTTTTGCCCGGACACCACTTTTCACGTCCTGTCCGGGGCAATTGATGATAATGTCCGGTTTTCCTTGTGTGTGTGTGTGTTAGAGATTTCTGTCCGAACC